TTTCATTCCTTCAGGTGCCTGGCAGCATTCTGAAATTTCCTTCTTGCCCCTTCAGACCATCCACAAGTAGGAAGATACAGTCACATTTGTGACAGCACAACAGGTACATAAGACCAGGTGATGTAAGTCTGCGGAAAGGAGGAAAGCCACAGAGGCAGCATGGGGTAAACACACCGAATCCCACCTCACCATGATGCCATGTGACAACAGCTTCTCACCAGCCCCTGGGCCAGCCCCACCCCTCACCCCAGTCTCAGATCAAGAGTCTTTATCCAAAGTTGGGAATAGCCTGACTTTTGGTGTGACATGTGATTTCTTTACCTGCACTGAGGATTTTTACTTGCAAAATGCACAGATAAATAACCTGAGCTTCTTTACCGGCATTGAGATGATTCTCTTGAATTGGTTATTTACACTGTGCCTGTCTACATCCTCGAGCACTTGGGCCCCAACTCAAATTTCTCCAGCAATGAGACTGTGAAAACCACTCTTTCTTGCAGGGTCCTCTGCTGAGCAAAGAGTTGGCTCGCAAAATCTCATCTTTCTAGTGTTTGCTACTGAAAATGGACTGATTGGGCTTTCTCAGTCTTTAGAACAATGCCCACCATCAGCAACTGGACTTTGGGCTTAGCATGGATGAACTGTCCTGAATAAGAGAACAAGGGAAGGCATTTCCAGAACTAGTGGTGTCACTTCCTATGCAATGAGGAGGTTTTGCCAACCAACACCTTAAGATCTGCACAATTGAAGAACTAGGGACTGATGTGGAAAACAGCTCTGATGGGTGCTGCAAAGGATTAACCCCAGTAAACAGCCCATTGAATTCAAGGTAGAAAATCAAGTTAGTCAGGAAAGAAAGGAGCAAAGCAGATTAGTGTTTCTTATTCCCTTCTCCACCCAGCCCAAGGGGAACAGTACTACTAAACTTCAGCCTATTCCCAAATGAGGCAAAATGATCTGAGAGTTGCTAAGTCCCAGAAAGGACTAAATTAAATGCATTACACCCCCTCCCCTCAAAGGTCAAATATATACAAAATTAATCCACTCTCTTATAAGCAGCGTAAGCAGCAACAAAACACAGCTAGAGGCATCCACGTCTAAGCCATTCTTCCCTGGAACTGGCTTCAAAGCAAGCATTTCCTTTGCCTGCTTTTCTAGTTTATGGCCCAGTTTCCCTAACTTGTCAGAGTAATGGAGCCATGCTCTTGTATCTTCCCTGACACCAGGTTCCCCCACACTCAGACTTACCATGAATGGCTCACATATCCCCTGTTCATCAGACTCCTCTGCTTTTCAGTGCCCAGGTGGATACTTTGCTGCACACAGAAACAAGACCTGGCATCTTCCTTTCTCCTTGTTTAAAATCTAGTTCCTGGAAGTGACAAGGGTTCCAAGGATAGGGTTGTGGGTAGCTATACACTGATATGTGTCCTCTCCCCCATCCCCTCTTGTAGATTAAATGTGTGTAGGCAACAATAGTAGTTCTAATAGCATAGACATGGTAGCTATGTGTGAGGCACTATCTCATCTAATTCTCAAAATAACCTTTTCAGGGAGGTATTATGATCTTTATTTTTAGATGAGCACAGAGACCCAAAGAGGCTAGGTGTCTTGCTTAAGAGCATAATTTATAGAGGACAGAGGTGGGATTCAAATCCACGTGGTCTGTTTCACAGCAGTGGTGTCAGACAATGTGGGGGGAGGGGAGGAGTCTCCCAAGGATAAAGGTGGAATTTTAAAATAATAAAACCAACTGGAAGACAGATGGCTCTTTATCATCACCATATGTGAACAAATTTTAATAATGCAGTGATGAAATTTATTTTTTCCACTTGGGTGAGCCATTCCCATTGTCTTGTCATGTCTGCATATTGTCTGACACCAGAGCTGCCTTGCTATAAGGGAGCTCAACTGAAGCACTGAGAGTGGCAGAGCAAAAAGATGGGAAGAACCTGGAATTACTTTTTGTATTTTTTTTTTTATTACAGGTTGAGTGTTTCTAGTCTGAAAACCTGAAATCTGAAACACTTCTAGTCCCAAGCATTTCGGATACTCAAACAGTATTGTGGTAAAATATACATAACATCAAATGTATCATTTTGACCATGTTTAAGTGTTCAATTAGATGGGATTAAGTGCATTTACAATGTTGTGCATCATCACTATTACCCATTTCCAGAATTTCTTATCACACCAAACAGAAACTCTGTACCCATTAAATAATAACTCCCTATTCCTCCTTCCTCTCTGCTCCTGGTAACCTCTATTCTTTTTCCTTTTTCTTGAATTTTCCTCATATAAGTGGAACCATACAATATTTGTCCTTTTGTGTCGGTCTGATTTACCTTACTTAGCATAATTCTTTCAAGGTTCATCCACATTGCAGCATGCATCAGAATTTCATTTTTTAAAGACCAAACCATATTGCAGTGTATGTAAGAATCTAGGTTTTTAAAGACACCTTTGAGACACCATACCTTGGCAGACCTCTTGTTAAGCTGGATAATAACTTTACCTTATGGTTTAGATCATGTGGCCTGGGGTTTTCCTAATGCATACATAAGGCACAACTCAGATTCTTCTGTGTAAAGCTCCAGGTTAGTCAGAATGAAAGCTCCCCAGCATGTGGCAAAATTTCCCAGAATTTCCCCATATATGTGCACCTATGTAGACATAGGTGCACATATGTACATATACACACAAATATAAGACTAAGTCCACAACTTTACTTCTTTTAATCCTTAGTTTAGCTATTCTAATAATTCATTACAATTGTTAATTTCAACATATACAGTTGCTCAGCACTTAATATATTCCTTCATCATTAAAAAAAAAAGTATATTGAACTCCAAATTAGGTGAGACATTGGACCCAGTGCTCTATGGAGGAAAATAGATTGACACTTGTTTTCAAAACACTTTCCCACAATTGTCATTGGAATTAGAAATAATCAAGTCTAACCAAGGGTACAGAATAAAAATATTTATTTAAAAAATATCATTTGGCTTCAAGTGTCCCAAGTTTGGCAGGCATAAAGGGTGGACAGTTAACATTTTACTAGTATATAAAATCTGAGATACAGGAAGCATTAAGGCAGAAAAATGAATACTTAGTATTAAAACTGAAAAAGTGAGTATTAAGCTACTAAAGGGATGTTAAGGTTAACAAAATGTTTCCTAACAATGAAAACCATCTCCTCCTCTATAATAAATACAAAGAGAATAGAATGTTTGATTTGCATGTTCCTCATAGAAAATTTTGGTTTATGGCTATGAAGAGGTGAACTACAAAAAGATGTGAGCAGACTCTGGTACTAGTAGGGGATACAAAGAAGTGGGGGAAAAAAGAGAAAATAGGCAGACCCTAATCAAGGGTCCCTGTAAAAATGTATTTTTGAAAAACCTGAGCAAGCATCTACAATAATTCTTTTCTGTGACTTTAAAACTGTAATGACATCATTAAAAATCAATTATTTTGTCAATATACAAAAATGTATTTTCACTGTAGACACATAAAAAACTTCTGCAATTATTGTATTATAGACCATATTAGAAAATTCTAACTTTTTTGCTTGGTCCCTTTCCTGGGTCCTAGTTTTTCACATTCTGAGAGAGGACAAAGGCCTTTAGAGATCCATCAATCCAACCCTTTCATTTCACAGATAAAGGAGGATAAATAGCTTGCCACAGTCATATTCATTCTCAGTGGCAGAGATTGGACTAGAACCAGGGCTTGTGATCCCCGAAGAGTGCTTTTCTCGCTACATGATGTGACTCATTCTCCACCCCATCCCTGATCTGAGATTATCCCTCAATCTCAGATGAGTAGAAGGGCTGCGAGGAAAAGAAATAAGTCTGTCTGGGGCCTCTCTGGCTTTTTATGAGTGTGGGGCCTCTCTGGCTTGTTATGAGCGTGGGGCAGTAGAAGAGGAGGTAAAATACATCTCCTCCTCTATCCCAAGTCTTTAAGAATAACTCATGGCGGGGTTTGGTGGTTCAGCCTGTAATCCCAGCACTTTGGGAGGCTGAGGCAAGTAGATTGTCTAAGCCCGCGGGTTCAAGACCAGCCCGGGCAACTTGGAGAGACCTTGTCTCTACAATAAATAAATAAAAATAGCTGGACGTGGTAGTGTGCACCTATAGATTCAGCTACTTGGAAGACTGAGGCAGTAGGATCATCAGAGCCCAGCAAGTGGACACTGGGGTGGCCATGGATGTGCCACTGCACTCCAGACTAGGTGACAGAGTGAGACTCTATCTCAAAAAACAAAGCGCGCGCGCACACACACACACACACACACACACACACACACACACACACAGTCAGGCTGCTCTGAACACCCAAATGAGAAATATTTCCTGAGCAGAGAATTATTGTGATGGAAATTTTAAAGGCCCTCATGAAGTTGCTGCTTTTAAAGGCAAACATCTGGCCACTCACAATCATACACATTTTAGAAGCTCTGCGAATACAGTTCTGGTTACAGATGATGACTAATATGGAGAGCTTCAGGCCCTGAAGACCTCTCCACACCACTCTGTCGAGTCCCTAACCACCATACTATCAAACGGGCTATGAATCAGTGATGGGAAATGCCCTCCATCCAAATATGCAAATTTCAGCAGAAAAAAAATCACGTCTGACTGGATTCTTAAAAAAAAAAAACAACTCTACCATTCTCACATCTATTTCTGATTTTATACGCATCAGCACGTAACATTCTAAATGTTCTATTCTGGAAATTCATTTCTGGGTAGAAGTACAGAATACTTTATTACAATACTTATGAGAGGTGCCTCAAAAAGGAGTGTGGTCAGATCTCTTGGGGCCATTTTCTTCTGTGTGTCCCTTGAGAACAAAATTTAGAGAATAAAAGTTTACCACATTTTAAAAATGTCTGTCATGCAAGTTTTTGTTCAAAGTTCAATATAAGGAATATGAACTGAGAATTCCTTTGTAATATCCATGAGCTAGGACAACTATGAAACAAAAGTTCTTGAAACTTTGACAGTGTCAAGTTTATTGAAACATATCACAATTCTGTAGACTGTCCAGCAGAAATGTATCTTTCTTGTGTCCCATAGTGTCTGTAAGAATAAGGCTATTTTATTTTAAGCATTTTTTAGAAACTGTTTTCTCAAATGAACGTTAATCATGTGGTTTACAAAACAGGAGGCAGCTATGTGTTGCATGTTTCATCTCAGGCAATAAATTTTCTCTGTACCATATTTCTTGTCTCTTTCCATACAGTTTGTTGTGTCTTGTATACAGACTCCTGAAAAATTCTTTCCACTTGCCTTGGAAAGCCACGACTTTCTTCCTCTAAGGCATTGATGGTTTGGAGAGCAAAGGGAGTCCTTTCCCGTGGAAGGGGATTGTTCAGGGGCCGCATGGGTATAACAGAGTTGTATTTGTGCTGCCTGTTTACAGAGTTCATTAGGGATGTATAGAACTGGAAATTACACCAGGTATCTCTTAAAAAGTTTTCAGTCAGTAATAAGATAGTCCATGCAGACCCATTTACAGCTTCATCTAAATTCTGTAAATGCTGTCTGCCACATGGCATCTCTGCAAAGATTATTCCGGGTTTGATACCAAAGTCATTTTGTAGCAGATTCTGGACTCTGAGGGCTTCATCTGTGTCATCTTCTGCATGCAATATCACAAATTTGAGGAACTCCTCTTCTTCATCTTCATCTTCTAGTGTTTCTTCCACTCTCTCAGCTCCTTCCTGCTTTCTTGTTGGTGTTGTATTGTAATGTTCAGCAACATCACACAAAGAGTTATCTTTGGACTTCTTGGAATCTGACTCATGATGTCCTTGACTTGTATCCTCATTGTGGCTTTTACCCCAAGAGAGAGAAAAGGGGCAGGAATCTATTTTAGATTTCCCGATACCCATTATAAATATTCAAGGCAGAAGAGAAAAACTTTATTTCTCAGCCTTTCTTTTCAATCTAAAAAAAAAAAAATAACAAGAAGAATATTATAAATTTAATCAAACCATTAAAAATGAAAACTTTCATTCAACCTGAAAAACTAAAAAATATTATAATACAGAGATCATAAGAAATAAATAAACAGCTAATTGGGAAACTAAACTACTAGTCTTTTCTGTGCTTCACAAGAGGCACCACAGACAGTAAAGGGTAAGTTAAACAGAGGGTCCAGTTTAATACAGGAGACATTTGGAAATTGTAAATGGCATTATATTAGCCCTATAAACCTCCAGATTACAATAAAATACTTTGATATCTTAGTGAAAAGTAACATACCATTCTAGCCACATGGAGTTTAAATCCAATTTCTCTGTTATCAAATTAGAATAGAAACCGGAAAATCTAAAGAAACAGAATATTCAAATATTAAGGATAAATTTATTATGTATCAAACATAGAAACAAAATAGAACACAAATATCATCACAATGGCGGCCAGCATATCTTCTGACCCAGTGTAAAGAAAGATCTAAAATGAAACAAATATCTAGGACGCACTAGTTCGGAGTTTTTTGTTTGGGGTCAGGCATTGTGATAGTGAAGCTGATGGAGAAGAAATTATAAGGATTTGTGAAATGGAAGGAATGTCTTTTTTCAACTAATCCCAGAACTGCTAAAGAAAATATATTTGTTGATATATGAGAAAATTAACATCTTGGTTTGGGAGTGAAATCTGGAAACAAAGACCTGAGATTTTTCTCCAGTGAAATCAACAAAGAATAATTATAGTCTGGACTCATTCTTTAAAAAAATTCTAAAAAAACCTTTTTTTTAAATTCTAAATTCAGAATGGAAGAATTAGATAAATTATGGAAGAAAAGTACTTCATGTGACTCTAATTAAATAACTCTTCAGAAAATGCTGGCAATGTTACTAACAATACCCACCAGATAGGCAGTTTCAAGTGGGATTCTTTTATCAAAAGACAGAAAATAGAATAGAAAAATATAGGTTCCAGGTTTTCAAATACAGGCCACAGGCTATATTCTAGAGCAATTTTATTTATTGCTTGTGGGCAGAGACCAAAGTTCAAGAAGAAATAATAATTACATTCATAACGACATGAGTAACATGGCTATATCTGTCTACATAATTCAGGTTTCGAAGAAACTGTTCAACAAAAGTGGTGAAAACTGTTAGGGGAAGCAAAGATAAGGAAAAACACATAGAGAATTTTATTCTAGTAGATATAAGGAGTAAAAAAGTTTGCAGCTGCCTTTGACAAGTGAAGAAATTGCCAGCTGCTGCCCATCATTCACCATGTCTGCACTTCAGGTTTTGGCTCTAAAGTACATTGTACAAGTTACCAAGGAGTGTTCTAAGGCATAATAACTCTAAAATGTGACATATATACATCCAAAATAATAAAACCAAATTAATTTGGACTGTCTTCATGGGTTAGAATTCACTGCTGACTTCTGTTATTGCACTATGAAAAAAAGTTTTGCTATGCAAAGTTGTAGAAAGAAGCTTCCCCTGCATAAGAAAACAATCGTTAAAGCATTCAGAGCCATTTGTTTTCTGTCAATTAAAATGATATGTGCCAGGCATGGTGGTTCACACCTATAATCCCAGCACTTTGGTAGGCTGAGGCAAGAGGACTGCTTGAGGCCAGAACTTCAACATCAGCCTAGGCAACATAGTAAGACCTTATTTGTATTATTTATTACAAATAATAAAAAAAAAGCTGGGTGTGGTGCATGTACCTGTAGCCCCAGCTACTCGAGAGGCTGAGGCGGGAGGATCACCTGAGCCCGGGAGGTCAAGGCTGCCGTGAGTCATGATCATGCTATTGCTCTTAAGCCTGGGTGATGAGGGAGATATGACTCAAAAAAAAATTGATAAAAATAAATAATCTACACTTATCATTGAAATGGCTTTGTTATACCAACTTACCATTATTTTAGCTATGAGCTGGTGCAGATGAGTACACTTGAAGGAATATAACAGATAATCATTAAGAGTATCTTAAACTTCTAGAAAATGATGTGTCAAGCCATATCACAAAATATTTTGAAATAAGAACAAAAAAAAAAATGTACAGCCTTGACTTATTTTTCTTAAATACCAGTTAATGAAAAAAGCGCAAAACTTCAGAATCTATGATGGGCTGTTCCAATTTCCAAGCAGTCCTACTCACCTAATCAGACTAGGGAGAGCTAAGTTAACAACAACGTCTGTAAACTTCACTACAGCCTTCTAATTTGGAGGGAGAAAGGAGACTGCCAAGGGAAAAAGATGTGGAAAGCCATGTGCTGTTCCCACCACCATCATGACTCAGACATGGGGAGATGGTCAGGATTCATCACTGCACTGTGGTTCTCAGGGCTGGGAGGAAGTGAGAGGACATGACTGCTCACTGTGAGTCAATTAGCTCCATCATTAAAGGGGACTTTATGAAAACAGAAGAAAGGCATGCCATGCTGAAGGAAATCAGGGGAAAAGTGGCCCCCAAAATCCTGGAACACCTCCTTTAAAGTCCTCCTCCAGTCAGCACCAGGCTTAAAAGGCAGTGAGGGTAGCTGCTGAGGAAAGGTACTTGAGATCACTATTCACAGAAATTACAATGTGTGTGTACATATACATTTTCATTTACTTTTTTTTAAAGTAGTGGTTGAAACATATATTGACTTTGTAAAATTTTATATTGAAGTCTCACTTCTATTCTAATCCCCATCCATACACTCTGGCTACTGCATTAAGAACAGAAGGGAGGTGAGACCAGGTGTTTGAGACCAGCCTAGACAACATAGTAAGAGCCCTTCTCTACAAAAAATTAAAAACTTAGCCAGGCATGGTGGCATGCATCAGCTACTCTGAAGGCTAAGGTGGAAGGATCGCCTAAGCCCAGGATGTTGAGACTATGATGAGCTATGGTCATGCCACTGCACTTCAGCCTGGGTGACAGAGTGAGACCTTGATGCAAACAACAACAACAAAAAAAAGAGAGAGAGAGAGAGTAGAAGGAAGGAAAGCAACGGTGGAAGTAGGAACCTTAATTAGGAGTCTGTTACAGAAATCCAGTGGAAAAAATGATGGTGGCTTGGACCAGGGTGTGGTAGTAGTAAAAGTGGTGAGAAGTGGCTGAATTTGTGGTATATTTTGAAAGTAGAACTGAGGATTTGCTGATGATGTTGAGTAGGTATTGGATATAGAGTCTGGAGTTTGGGGGAAAGGTCCAGCCAGATGTATATTTGGCCTTTATCTTTGTATAGATTGTATTTGAAACCTAAAGACTGTATGAGACCATTAAGGGAGTGCACACAGACAGAAAAGGGACTGGAGTGCCTGGGGAACAGAAAGAATTAGCAAAGGAGGCAGAGAAGAACTGGTCAGGAAGGTTGAAGGAAAACCAGAAGTCTGTGGTATAAGGGAAGAAAATGGTTGAAGAAAAAGAGTATTTAATTGACTTTGGATGCTTATGATCGGTCAAGTAGGACGAGGAATGAGAAATGACCAACGAATGTAGCAGTGTTAAAAATTTAGCACATTTAAAATTATAGCATCTAGTACTTGAATCCATCAGCCTTGAAGAGTCCTTTTCTTTCATATCTAATGGCACCATCTTGTGGCAAATATTTATAAAATAAAGATTTCTTCATATGTTTCAATGTTTTGTGGTTATTTATTAATCAATGTTTCCTTATTACTAAAAGTGAGTTTTTTGTGATGTCACTATAATTAGACAATTAAGATTTTCTGCACTGGTGCTTTATTCAGAATATCAGGTGCTACAGAAGCACTCAGGAGGGCTACCTGCAATAGGGAACACTTCACATTCTAAGACAGAAGGAGGTGAATATTTTCCAGGTAGTGGAAGCAGCATTTGAAAAATCAATGAATGGCCATGTGTGGTGACTCATGCCTATAATTCCAGCACTTTGGGAGGCCAAGGCAGGAGGATTGCTTGAGGTCAAGAGTTTGAGACCAGCCTGGGCAACTTGGTGGGATCTTGTCCGAACAATAAATAAAAAAAAGTAGTTGAGCACAGTGGCGCACACCTGTAGTTTCCAGCTACTTAGAAGGCTGAGGTGGAAGGACTGCCTGAGCCCAGCAGGTCAAGGTTGTGGTGGCCATGAGTGTGCCACTGCACTCCAGCCTGGGTGACAGAGTGAGACTCCAACTAAAAAAAAAAAAAGCCTAGTGTACCGGCACATGCCTGTGGTCCTATCTACTTGGGAGGCTGAGGTAGGAGGATTGCTTGAGTCCAGGAGTGTAGTGAGCTAGGATCATGCCACTGCACTCCAACCTTGGTGACAAAGTGAGACCCTGTCTCAGAAAGAAAAAAGAAAAAACAAAAGAGTAAAGAAAAAACACTGAGATACCAGAGGGCAAAGTGGTGTATGTTAGGACATTTACATTTATGTGGTTCAGGTCCATGTATGTAGGGTAAGGGAGGGGGTAGTGGTGAGATATAAGGATAGAGAGGTAAATCGGACTATAAGGAACCTAATATATTATGCTCAGGACTTGGTTTTTTGATCATGTTGGCAAATAGCCCCAGGAAGTTGTCAATTAGGGGGTTGTTACAGATTAAAATAGTCAGAGTAAAGAGACAAGGTTACAGGATTTTAAAATCCTAGACTGAGAGAACAATAAGTTAAGAGGTTGCTGCAATAGTCTAGGTGAGAGAGCAAAGCTCTGAGTCAATGAAGTGACAGTGAAAACAAAGACACATAGGAGGTAGCGGGGAGGGGAGGGTTGGTGATAGAGAGGGAAGAGTGAGAGAGTGAAGGATGCCTCCCAAGCTTGTACTTGGTATAACCTGGTGGGTGGTGGTACCATTCACTGAGACAAGTAATATAAGAAGGATGATGTGGGGTGGGGCACCAAGTAACCCAGTTTGGGAACTATGGAGCTTACAGTGCCCATGACCGATATTGGGAGCTCCCCAGTAGGCTCTTGGACATGTAGGTCTGGGGCTTAAGACAGCATCTTGGATTGGGAATAAAATT